TGTATGCACGCGGCGCACTCTGTCCTGTGGCCAGACCAACATAGCTGAATCCTTCAGACATGTCGCGGGTCGCACCATTATAGCAGCTGAGTCAGAAGATGGTGTGTCCACAAGGCGAGAAGCCATGTTGATACAATCACCTTGACAAGATAGTCGTGCTGTGGGCGAGTGCCGGAATAGCAAAGCCACGTAACTGAATTAGAACCCCTAGTTACAGAATTTACACCGTTTGTTATGACCTTTTGTTCCCTTATTCTCATATTTCAGTTATAATTTCCTTCAGTGTACTTCCCCTGACTCGTTACGTCTTCTCAACCTGATGAGAACAGAAAATTTTGAATAAGTCAAGGAGTAATTGGCACTTTCAAAGGAAAAACGAAGGAAGTAACAATTGAATGTCCACAAATGAGACACATACACTCTTATACCGGAAGTGGAGTCCAGGCAGTAATGAACAGAGATCTAAATACAGTAAAGATAACTGAAACTCAACTCTCTGAGATCAGCGAAGTAATTTGCCGTTCTTTGTAGAATGGAAAATGAAGAATTCAGGAACTAATTATAACATATTTTAATTAAAAAATGCAGATCAATTTAAGCAATGCATTGAGCATGTGGATAGCACAGGACATGCGAGAGTGACAGGAGTGAAATTGGAGACTGAATTACGAACCTACATGCATCTACAAAGACAAAACAATTCCGTCCAGTGTGACTATTTAAGTTTTACTATTTGAAAACTTAGCACCCTTACATGTTTCGATCCTATACACAATATACTTAATACACAATATACTTAAGCAACAAAGTTTTAAAAACTTAAATAGCAGGAAAGCTTCTGTGATTGTGAGAAATTGGATTCTATGTATATTGTGTATTCCAGGCATTATGTGTGTATGTAATTTAGCACCCAGAACACCACCTATTGTGATAGTAGTTTCAAAATAAGTATTGATGTTCCCTCTGAAGATGATACGTAAGGATCAAAACATGTAAGGGTGCTAAGTTTTCAAGTAGTAAAACTTAAACAGTCACACTGGATGGAATTGTTTTGTCTTTGTAATCGTTAGTGTGACGAACCAGAATGAAACAAATCAAATACATGCATTTATATTCATGCAAACTGAAGAGAAGAGTTCACTTTGGAGTCTTAAGCCTAGACGGTAAGGTTAAGTTGTCCCTATGCTTTACTGAGCACCGCGCCATGAAGACGTAATGGGGAAGCGGAGGTATATCTCCACGCATTCTTAACGTCGGTGATAGATGGAAGTGAGTGATCAGTTTTCTACCGTGGCAGCTGTAACCTCATATAAATAACCTCTGGTACTCATTCGAGGCTGGCTGAGATTCAGATCCGGTCTGGACACATGTTCATATAAACTTATTTCAGTACCTGTAACTACAAAGTATAGAGAAACATTTTTCGTTCACTCTGTAAGAGTATAAGACACCCAACTTAAGAAGTCTGAGCGTTAAGCCAATAACAATATCGTCTCTATGCGTACTCCTTGTATGCGAATGTTACGCACGGTTGCAACCCTACTCCTAACACCTAGAGATTATAATTCAATTATTTCCCTTCAGAGAAAGACAGAATATTTCTTTGAGTACTTGACTTCTTAAAGTAATTGAATTTGCTACAGACCAACATTATACAAAACTCTCCGTAACTGTAATACATGCCATTCTATGGATTCAATAGTTTTCTTCGAGACACGAAACAAAAAATCCCCGAATTTACAAGCATTACGTTAGTAGTAGGCACGACTGACTTATATAAGTCTTTCCCGTTAAGAAAGATAAGGTTGAATTTTAAATACGCAACACCCAACGCCCCCCAGTCCCTTCTTAGAATGACGCAACGCGCTGGATTAGTTGAGAAGCGTATCTTTGAAATGCAGATTAGGAACAAAGTATTTATGACCAACCATTTCACTGTACGTACACTTTGAAACAGTCTTCTTTGTGTTACCATATTTGTGCGCTCTACTGAGGAAGACAATGATCTCTTAAAATGGGACATTATTACTCTAAATTTGTCAAAAATTTCTACAACAGATTCTCTTCCGTAACCCTTGCACCCACCTTTTTCAATGTATCTGTGATTTGTTTTCTCCAAGTATAATTAGAATGATAAAGTCAAGGAAGATGAGGTGGGCAGGGCATGTAACACGAATGAGGGAGAAGAGGAAAGCATATAGGATATTGGTGGGAAAGCCAGAAGGAAAGAGACCACTGGGAAGACCAAGATGTAGGTTGGTGGACTATATTAAAATGGATCTTAGAGAGGTAGGATGGAATGGTATGGATTGGAATGATCTGACTCGGGATAGGGACCAGTAGAGGACTCTTGTGAACATGGTAGTGAACCTTCTGGTTCCATAAAATACCGGAAAGTTCTTGAGTAGCTGCACAACTGACAGCTTCTCGAGAAGGGTTCAGCTCCAAGAGTGAGTAAGTATCTGTGAATTGTTTCCCCTATATTCATATCAAAACAAAAGGGAATAAACGTTATTTCGGTGTAACGTTGTGAAATAATCAATCGAGAACTATTAAATTTTTTCATCTGAATTTGGATTTAATATCTCTTAAATATTTAAAAAATTACTGTACACCTACATTACGTCCATGATAAATACTAATCTATCCATAACCTTGCAATATGCACTGTCACTTATTTAACTCAAATTACAATATTATTAACACTTTAAAGACTGAATTTCTTCCAAACAGTATATACTAATTTAATTCGAACCTCACAGGAAATAGATTACGTATCCGCTGCCAAGATCAACCGGCTAAAGCCGTTTATCGAAAGAACCGCATGGAACACACAAATATATTTTACGGGAAGAATGCAGAGTTTTAGCATGCTAAGACAGGTAGCATGTATAGAACTACCAAGCTTCAAGGGGTTAAATTTGATAGCTTTTCCTTAAAGCAAATTTTAAAATTTTGGACGTTTATTAACAATATTTACAACAGATCTCTTTAACACCACGTCTAAAGCAGGCCATGCCTTGTCAACCCCTTTCAATACCATCATACAGAAACTAAAAGACAAAACGACAGTTTAAGACTGTGTTAAAGTATTAGGCTAAGACGATTTGGACAGAAATGCATTAATTCAGAATTTGGCTCAATAACAGGTTTCAGTAGTAGTAGTACCCCTCGCGTACCTTATTACTCCTATATTACATTATCAGAAAATTAGATGCATTGAAACTAAAAGATAATTATATCATGGAGGAGTTAAAATTTCTTGGCACACTTTGACTCGACTATGGAATAATTTTACTTCTATTATAAACCTTTGCCCATCCGAAGACGAAGCCATAAGAAAAGCAGAGACCACACGATTCAATTAAAAGACCAAATAAGAAAATCCCTCCGAGGAGAAGAAAATTAACGTCGAGTGGAATGAAATAAAAATACAAGTAAAAGCGATAAAATGAATGAGATAAAACTTTCCTTAACTTTCACTTGCAAAAATTAGAAAGCCGCATATTTCCAGGCGGCAGTTTTCTTTTCCTTCCACAAGGAAATAAAGGAAATGTGTTCAAAGTTCTGTAAACACGTTACACCTCACGGATAATAATTATTTCTAACTCAACTAGAAATAAGGTTCCCTCTTTCTACCAGAAGCCCAGCAAATTTCAGCATCATATTCTTCAGAATGGAGTTACTTTATGTTGCAAAAAGTCTGGAGTGTTTTATGTAGTATTCTAAAGAAAACAAACACAGCTAGCGACGGAGACAGAATGAGGTGATGGCTTCACTAATGCATCCGAGAATTAGGAACAGAGAGATGGCTTCTGGAGAGAACAAGAATGCCTGTAGCTATGGCGTTAAATTACTTAGCACCTCTAAAAATACATTAAATGGTACAATTCTTCAGAAATTATATGCCGTAATTTATCGAGTAACTTTAACTTTGAATAATAAAGAGAAAATTATCGGCATTACTTTCTCCAAGAGCCGCTGTTCTGTCTCCTCTGTTACCGAGTTTACAGAGAGCCCAACAATTTGTAGAGAATTCTTCTTCAAAATGGGCTTACAAGAAATTTCTTGTTTTCTCCACCCAAAGTATCCTTCAAATTATGGTCCTTAAATTGACTGCCATAATAATGTCAAGCATAATTCAGGAAGGCCTTGAAATGTAATATTCTCCATTCAACTGTCTCTCAGTTCTCAAACTTTCTCTTATTTTCAGACCATCCTACTAGTAGTCTGCTTCTTTCCTAACACTACAACACCACGGTTCAAAATATGAAAGCAGTGCTCAAAGATTTTCATGTAAATAATTGTCTTTCATTATCCTTATTATTAGAATACACGTAAATAATGCAACAATATAAAAGAGACCATGAATATGGCACTCACTACAAATGCATTTTAATATTTCATGATGTTCAAAGAGCGCAACGACTGGTCATGAGATTGATCTAAACACTGACGTGCACGAAAAGAGCACGTGAACAAATGCAGTATAGTGGTCTCACCCCCAAAAGAAAAATCACCTGATGATGGCCCATGTGAGACCGAAACATGTCGTAAAAACTAAATAAAAAAAAACACGTAAAACCAGAGACATTCCAGAAATTTTGATAATCACTTTTAATGTATAAAATATACTTTTAGTGTCCTATTGATATATTAACAATCATAAAGTATTAAAATATATTTTTAGTGAGTGGCATATTCTTGATGTCTTTTATATTGTTGCATTATTGACGTGTACCTGAGGACAATGCCTCACTGCAGCGGGATGCTCAAATATAATATTGTCTCTCAAGTTTTTGAAAGCATTTAAGATAATAAACAGCATCTGAAATACAACTACAATTACAAATATTTTCTGCATTTAAATATATATCACCAGAAATATTGTCTACTTTTACTTTTAATTGTGTACATATTTTCTAACTTCTAGTGACACTACTAATACATTATTATATACTATCGTAACGCTAATGACTAGTTAAGGTCAGAGATCCTACCTTGTTCCTTAATAAATTTCAGGGAACTGAAATGTGGCAGTTTCTCGGCGATACGACAGCCGAGTTCTATGTGATGCCATCTGAGAGGCGCAGTGTGTTGACTGCAGCAGCATTAGCGCCACCTGGAATTATACAACGCATTCATTTGTCATGCAGCTAGACACCGGGTGCTATTGTCACCTATACGCGGTACAGGGGGATCCCAAAATATCTGTCTCGACCACTCTTCTGAACGTTGAACACTCTCATTTAATCATAATTTGTCCTCCTCTTTATTTTGAAATTCTGTATCTATCTGTCTGTCTATCTATCTGTCTTTCTTGTTACTCCCATTTGGAGCACAGGGCATCCGTGGAAAACTTCGTTTCACTATAGTTTCTTAATCTAACACAGGCGGCAGGATTCCCTGGACGGGGGATCAGCAAGTTGCAAGACCGCCACCTACACATGGCAACACAACAACAGAATAAATGAAGACAAACATCTATACACTGGTGGGATTCGAACACAAGATCCAAGGGTTGGAGCGGACGAAGACATTGCATGCCTTAGACCGCGCGGCCACTGTGATCGGTTCGTTTTACCGTTAGTGTTACTAAATCTTTCCAAAGATAAAATGTCTCTTCTCGAATCAGCGAAACTGATACATTAAAATTCATTGCGACACTTTGAATGTATTACTGCGGATGTAATGCCGTCAGTAGAGAGAAACGATAAAGCAGAATAAGGAGAGAGATTGAAAGAAGGAGAAGGAATTTTTAAACTCATTTCTACAGCTTACTACAAAGGACATAATTGTGAGATTGCGTCTCTGGTTCTTACCTATCTCAGAATTCATTAGGATATTAATTTAGGTTTTAATATGTATGCAATTGCTTTTAAAATACTTCTTTATTTTTTCTTTGAAATTCGTAAAAAAATTATAATCCTTTGTTTCACCCTCCCTATTATCTAATTTTCTTTCTTATACGAAGTTTTCCTTTATTACAACATTCATGATTTAATTTTACTTATGAAATGCGCTTTACCTTTTATGAAAGAATTTCACATTTCTATAATGCTGCTATTTTGAATCAGGTCCCCTTTGTTAAGAGAGTTATAAAGAAAGGAACATTCAAATAATTACTAATTTTTTTTTTGCCATCCTGCCCCTTCCTAAATCTAACACCTTTACAAAGACAGTGGCTCTTTCTTCTTCAAACGCTACATTTCGGTACGAAACTTCATATCAAGAAAACTGCTGAGATGATTGAAAATATGAATTTAAAAACTGAAATAATGGGATGGCTTAGACAGAGACATATATTACAGAAAAATAATCAGATAGTGAGCTTATAAGCCTTTCCGAATTAGATACATCAATACCGGATTAATTTTCCTCATAAAACAAGATTCTTTTGCAGGTTATTATATCTCACGCACGTGAGACCAGTCTAATAAATTAGCAAAGAAGTCATCTATACAATATTAGATTCGTCAGAAGTGCATCGCTTTATAACAGTCACTAATAGTAAGGTAAGAAGGTAAATGACAGGCATCCCTGCAAAAGGCCATAGTGACCCTTAGGGCTGTGAGACGCTTACACATTTTCTCTAGACAATCGGCTCACAGATGGCGGTGAGGCTGTCAGTGTTACGTGCCGGCCGCCCTTTACCCCCAAGAAGATTCCTGGCACTTACTTCTGTTGGAGGCTGAGTCGACCCCAGGGCAATGGTGCGGCTGGAAGGATTAGGTAATTAAAAAATCCAATTACCTCATTGGGAATCGAACCCGTGACTTTCCGGCTTGTAGCAAAGTGCCTCAACAAACTACGCTACATCGTGCCCCAGGCAACTAATAGTGGAATTAAAAAATTCACTCGTGTAAACTTCAATTAATACTGTAAGAAACCTTTCTATCGTGCTTCTGAACATTACATATTTATGTTCGATAATTCGTATTTCCTCTGCATTTATATCAGCCGTTCTTTCCAAAAAACGAAATACTTTATTTTCTTGCATGAAGTTAAGTGAATAAACATAGCTTCTTCCTTGTTGACTTGGAGTTTGCGCAGAACATTTTACACACGCTATTTGCGAGAGTTGTGACTTGTTGATCCCCTTAGCATTATCCTCTTCTTCAGGATACACGTGCCAGCGCCTGCTATGCAAGCGGGAGATGCGAGCAACAGCTGCTGATGTGTTGTGACTTAGACAGGCCATTAACGTCATTAGAGGAAACACGTACAGACGTAGCAAATAAAACTGATTCTATGTGATTCTCTCGGGAGATCAGCCTTGTCAACGTACAGTAACATCCCAGCATTTCGGAGACTATATATATATACCTCCAAGCTTTCGTCGCAAGACTGCGGAGACCTCTGGTGGACAAGAGTGGAGATGTATGTAGGCTCTGAGGTTTTCACAGCGGTGGTTACGAAGAGTTCTGTCTTGTGGGATGTAGTGCTGTGTAGTCCGTTGAAAGTCAACCGACGTTTCAGAGGAACATGTCGTTGAGGGTTCGAGAATAAGCCAAAGAAGAAACCAGGGTGCTTCGCTTGCCACTTGCCTTCACGCTGGTTTCTTGCTTGGCTTATTTTTCGACCTTGAAGTCAGACCCGACATATTCCTCCGAAACATTGGTTGGTTTCCAGCCGACTACACCACGCTATATCCCATAAGAAGAACTCTTCAAGAGTTGGAAAAACTTGAAATCAAACAGCCCAGCTGAAGTACGTTCGACAGCTACAGGGGATGGACAAAAATATGGAAACACCCAACAAAAACACATTACCGTGACTACTATGGTGTAGGGCAACCTCTGGCTTGGAGAACTACTTGCAGTCTCCTTGGAATGGATAAATAGAGGTCCTGTATGATTTGCAAGGGAATCTTGTACCATTCTTCCTGAAAAACATGGTAAGTTCTGTTATCGATGATGGCGGTAGATAGCGCGCACGCAGATTTCTCTCCAAAACAGACCACAAATGCTCAATAATACTGATATCTGGCGATTGTGGGGGCCATGGCGGACGTGACACTTCATCTTCGTTCTCAGAAAACCAATCCTGGACGATGTGGGCTATGTGAACACAGGCATTGTTGGCTTGGTAAATGACATTACCATTAGGGAACAAAGTTTGCAGCATGGGATGGACCTGGTCGCCAAAAATGGTCACATAGTCGTTCGCAGTGACGTGACCTTGCAGGGTGATGATTGGTCCGACAGAATACCACGATATGGGTGCCCATACCATGATCGAACCCCCGCCATGCTTCACTCTTGGCAGCACACAATCTGGATCGTAAGCTTGGGATTGCGTTCTCCAGACGTAAACTCGGCCAGAAGTCGGAAACAGTGTGAAGGTGGACTCATCCGACCAAATGACCGTCTTCCATTGCTCCATAGTCCAGGTTTTATGACTTCGGCACCACACTGTCCTCTTAGTGCCATTTTGATCACTGATGAGTGGCTTTGGAATTGCAGCTCGTCCAGAAATACCCTGTTTCTGGAGTTCCCTTCGTACTGTTTTGGTGCTGACAGGGTTTGTGAGCGTGACATTCAGTTCAGCAGTCACTTTTGCAGCTGTAGTCTTCTTATTTTTCGTCACAATCCTACGCAATGTTCGCCTGTCTCGATCACTCAACACATTTCCGTCCACGCTGGTGTTTATCGGATACGGTTTTTTATTCTCCTGTAAGCGGTCATAATCTTGGATACTGTGCCTCGCGAAACACCAAAAACCTCGGCTACCTTGGTTACGGAAGCACCCACTATATGGGCTCCAACAATTTGCCCGCGTTCGAATTCTGTTAGTTCTGACGTGATGCACAAAAAATTGCACAGAACACTGTCTCGACAACAAATGAAGCTTGCAACGTATTGCGGAGGTTGTACAGGTAGTGGTGTTGGGCAGATACGACAGCGTGACCTACAAACGTCGCAAAATAAACACTTCAATTCAGGCATGAATTTCACGAGGTGTTTCCATATTTTTGTCCATTCCCTGTAGATAACATAACTAACCCACTTAGTGTCCGAATAGAAAATGAGTTACAAATACGCCAACCAACAGAGGTTAAAAGTGTACAGATGATTTAGTTGTTAAAGTGGGGTATTAGAAACCAACTTATGCCTCCAAACTCTTGTACAGATAGAGGTCTAGCGAACAGAACAGAGTCTTTTTGCAAGCCTTTTGCCAGTATGCTCACTCTTGCCATCCAGCGCCGATGGTAGTTCATGGCCATATTTGATTTCAATGGAGTCGCCTTTTGCTGTTGTGTTGGTCAATGGGTCTCCTATGCGCCTGTGGGAGTGTTTGATCATGACAAATACGTTAATCGAATGAAATATCCTGGCACAACATGCTTAATAAGGTACACTGCACTATTCACATCGTAACTGCTTCAGTTAGTGAAAGATGGTCTTTAGGAGAATTTCCCAGCATTTTATGGAACCCGAAGGCTCATTACCGTGTTCACAAGAGCCCTCCACTGGTCCCTATCCTGAGCCATATCAATCTAATCCATACCATCCCACCTTATTTCTCTAAGATCCATTTTAATATTGTCCAACCACCTACGCCTTGGTCTTCCAAGTGTCTTTCCTTCTGGCTTTCCCACCAGTATCCTATATGCATTCCTCTTCTCCCCATTCGTGCTACATGTCCTGATCATCTCATCCTCCTTCACTGATTATTCTAGTTATAACTGGAGAAGAGTACAAGTTATGAAGCTCCTCATTATGCGGTTTTTGGTCTTTAGGAGTGACCGTCAATTAAGATAAAGTTGCCCTTGTCTTAATTAAAACGTATGGAAGAGTGAAGGTACATCACCATTTTTCACTTCAGCACTAGATGGTGGTCAATGCTTAGCTTCAAGGCACGGCCGCTTTATTCCCGAGTATATAGCCGGGTAAGATATGTTACGATGGGATGGTATTGATTGGATTGATCTGGCTCAGGAACCAGTGGAGGGCTCGTGTCAACAGGGTAATGAACCTTCGGGTTCCATAAAATGCTGGAATATTCTTGAGTAGCTGCAGAATTGGCGGCTCCTCCAGAAGGGCTCGGCTCCATGAGTAAGTAAATTATGTAAATGAGTTTTGTTTGTGAGGACGTGCTTGTCGGTAAGGCTCCAGTGGT